AGTAAGTTTTAGAGTAATTTATTATGGCGTATTATTATGGCAACTGTTGACAAATACAGCCGCAAGGGAGTAAAGCCAAGATTCAAAACTGAAGTCTGTCTGGCTCAAAAACCCACTGTTACCCAACTATGTCAAAGAGTTTTTCTCAACAGAATTAATATCCCCACCTCCAGCATGTGTTTGGTACACAACAGAGATGCAATAAAAGCTCGCTTTGTTAATAAATATAAATAATGGATGTGAATTTTTAGCCAATTTTCAGTTCATTTTCAATATGCTACTCTTATACCTCCAAATTAACACTTTTATAAAGTAAGTTGCTATGTGCAGACGCAAAGGACAAGTTTAAAATAAAAGCTTAGCAGTATTTCAAAGAGTGAGGCTTTCACACAGATACGCACAACAAATATTTATTGTACATCTACCATTCACCAGACACCATTCTAGGCAGTGAGAATACAAAAAGAGACAAAATCCCCACCCTCATAGACCTTGCATTCTGGTTAACACTTACACAGTGTAACGACATTTTCCAAGTGCTTCATGTGTATTAACTCACTTCTTCTAACTCCTTGTATACCTGTGAGAGACTTACTACCTCCTTATATAGGTGAGAAAATGGAGAACCATAAATGACAAGTAATTTGCCCAAAGTTACAAAGTAAGTTGGCAGAGCCAGTCAAGGGTCTGGGTTTGCATCCATACTTTTTAAACTACTATGTCATATGCCCCTTCAAAGCTCTAATAACAAGCAGGGACACCTGGGTGGCACAATCAGTTGAGTGTCCGACTCTTGGTTTTCGCTCAGGTGGAGATCTCAGGGACATGAGACTGAGCCAGGCATCGGACTCCGAGCCCAGTGCAAGTCTGCCTGAGATTCTCTCTCCCTTTTCCCCTCCTGCCCACACTCCCCACCAGGTTCACGTGCATGTGCGCGCGCGCGCGCTCTCTCTCTCTCTCGCTCTAAAATAAATGTAAAATAATAAAAGCCATTTGAGTCAAATAGGATGAATTCACAAAATCAAACCTATATACAAATGGTGTGGGTGGAAGAGAACCGTATGAAATTATCTCTAAGATGCAGAAAGTGAAGAAAAGCAAGAAAAGGAAGAATGCATCTTTTTTTCACTGTGGCCAATATCTAATTCATAATTTTGAAATAAATCTTTTCCCATACTGCCATAATCTGATTCCCCTGTTTTATTTGAGAACTATTTCCTTTTTCTCAAAAGGTGACATAAAGTTCCTAATAAGAGCACAAAACAGTTACTGCTCATTTGGTATATATTAATAACCTCAAAGAAAAATAATTCTTAAATTCTTGTAACAAATATTAACTTTACTTTGTCGGAAAGAGAGAGAGAGAGCATGCCCACACACGTGAGCTTGGGGATGAGGGGGGCAAAGGGAAAGGGAGAAAGAGATCTTAAGCAGACACCATGCCTAGCACGGAGCCCAAGGCAGGGCTCGATCTCAGGACCCTGAGATCATGACCTGAGCCAAAACCAAGAGTCCGAACGTAAGCCACCCAGGCACCACAACTAACTTAATTCTTGTAATAGAACTCTTGTATTAAATATACCTTAAATTCCTGTAAGGTATTGAAAAAATTACCTATAAGACCACAATGGTTTAAATCCATGTCAATGCTCTTATGAATTGTAACTAAATTTCTCATTTTAAAAGCTTTGTTAAAATACATATTGTTGGATGCCAAAAGTCATCCACAACTCATAAACCCACCTACCTATTTGATATGCCCACACCTGGACATCTGACTTCAAACTCAACATGGCTACATCAGAACTGCTGAATCCCCTCCTGCCTGATGGGCTCCTGCCTCAGTCTTTCTACCTTAGGAACTGGTGATTCTGTTCCTCCAACTGATCAAAACCTGCAAGTTATTCCTGACTTTCCTTCACACTCTATAGCCCATGTATCAGCAAATGCTACCGGCTCTAAGTTAACAATCTATGCAGGATCCAAGAATTTCTTTTGTTTTTGTTTTTTTTTAAATAAAGATTTTAGTATTTATTTATTATTTGAGAGAGAGTGAGTGCACGAGGAGGAGTAGGGCCAGAAGGAGAAGCAAACTCCTCAATGAGCAGGGAGACCCACTCAGAACTTGATCCTGGAATTCCAGGATCATGACCCGAGCTAAAGGCAGTCGCTTAACGCACTGAGCCACCCAAAAACCAAGAATTTCTAAGACCTCTTGTTCAAGCTTCTCTTCTACTCCCTGAGCTGGTGTCCCACTGCCCACAGCAACCAGAATGAATCCATTAAAACCGCACTCAGCCCATTACCACTCTTCAGCTCAAAACATCTGAATGGCTTCCCACGTCACTCAACAGTATCTGAAATCCCTATAGGGGCTCACAGCCCCTACATGAGATGGCCCCTCTGCTAACTCTCTAATCTTGAATCTTACCACACTTCCCAAGCACACTCGTGCCTCAGGAATTACACATGCTGCGCACTCTGCCCGGAATGGTCTTCCCCCAGATAATTTTCATGCCTTTCTCCCCATCACGTCAGTCATGTCTCTGCATTTCCTCCATCTTGTAAGAGATAAATTTACTATAAATACAGTCATCATTTACATGCTTAGCCCACCTTATTTTTTTTCAATAGCACTGACTGCACTTAAAGTAAATATTCATTTGTTTATTTCCCATCTCTGCCACTGCATTGTCTGCTCCACAAGAGCAGAGGTACTGTTTAATTCAGCACTGTACCCACCTCTTGAACAATCCTTGGCAAAAGAGCCACCTGTTAGCCCCTCTTATTCTGATGATAAACAAGTAAGAGCAGCGCTCCTCAAACTTTAACGTGCACCATAATCCATGACAGGGCTTGGAAGGCAGACTGCGAGGCCTCAGCCCTCAGGTTTCTGATTCAACTAGTCTGGGGTAGGGCTGGAACATTTGTAAGTTCCCAGAAGGCATGGATACCATAGTCTGGAGACCACATATTGAGATCCACTGACCTGGACAATGTTACACCGCCTAACAGCTGTCAGCAACAGGAGCTGACCACGGCAATGAATCTCAACTGGTGAAGAAAGACGGGAACAGAGTGCAAAGTTACCTACTACTGCACCCACGCTATGAAATACATCTCTTCTCACTTGGAGGATTATATCAAACATGCCTTTAAATAATGCAATAGAAGTATCACCTTCCCCGAACAGGATTTTTTCCACAAGAACACAGACCAAGCAGACAGGATTATTTTCTCTAACATCTTATGATCTTATGTATTCTGTGTTGATGACTAGTGCTGAAACTTTGTCTTTTAAACAAACAGATGAGAAAGTAAATATCCTTTAGGAGATACTGAAACGCCCAACAGCAGTGCACACCAACTGCAAGAGCTGTCAAATCGTAACTTCCCGCCTCCGGGAATCACTGCAGTCGAGGGTGGGGCCAGAGTCATCATGTCTAGGTTTTATTAGTTAACCTTCCATCTGGTCCAAAACACACTTTCCCTGCTAAGAATCTGAAGTTTTAAGATAAAGTGTAGGAAGCACTGACATCAAATTATGTTAAAAGCAAGGGTCTCAAAGAAAAGGCTGAATTCCTAGTGCTGAGGTTCTCAAAGCTGTATGGTCTATCATGGCCCCTCTCTTACAGGAGGCTTTGCTGTCCAGCCACTTCCTTTAATCCTATGATACCCAATTACCTTCCAACAAACTCCTTGCCTACGTTATCCAGAATTGTTTATATATATGCAACCAAAAATACTTACAAAGTAAATATATTAGCCTTATAGAAAATTGTATTAGAAATGCAACTTGTGAAATGTCAAAGCTTTTTTCCATTAATCCAACTTAAGACATTTATTTTCCATCTTTACACAAGCAGACTGTCCATATAATCAATGAATCTTACAATATACATCACATTTTGACCTCACAATACCAATTTCTTTTTGCAGAATCAGAATAGTTTTTGCTTTCAGAATAGTTCTCTGAAACCTAGCAAAATACCAACAGTTTGCCTTTCAGAAGGCACTGGAACCAATTATGTACAAATATTATGCACATTGGAAGTCCATGGTGAACCACCACCAAATAAGGTTCTTGTGTTAAATTCCTTACTCTGATGGAAATAAATAGAAAAACAAATTAAAACGTACCAAACAGCAAGTGCTCCTCAGAAAAATAAAGAGAATTAGGTGAAACAATGAGTAACTAGATTGCTTTAGATAAAATAGTGAGGGGAGGCTTCTCGGAGTAACATTTGGGCTAAAATCTTAACCATAAAAAGAAGCCAGCCAGTATACAGCTAACATAAACATACTTAGGCTGGGAATAGACCTGACTTGTTCTAACAGCCAATGTGACTACAGTGTATTTAGGAGAGGGAAACTCACTTAAGATGAGGTCAGAGAGATATAAAGAACCATACGACATAGCGCTTTGTAACAAACAAGAATTTGGAGCTAATTATAAATTAAGTGGTACGGGACAAGGCGGCTACTTGTAACGAGATGTTTATGGAGAATATCTGAGGAAGAAACAGGAATGAAAAAGACAAAAGAAAAAAATTATGAACAATGGTTATCATAAAAATTTTGGAGCTGAAAGGAAGCTTAGCTGTCACATAGTCCAACTTCTCATTTTACTGAAAGGATGACATAGCCCAGGCTGTGGCTTCTCTGAGGTCAGATTAAAAATGAGAAGAGAATTGTATTTGGTGCTCTCTGCGACATTCAGGCCAAATCTCTTTCTGTAATTCTGGCCTCAGTATGAAATCTAAAACCAAGTCTTTACCACGCGCATTTCCAAAAGTGACAACAGCAGCCATTAAATGAAAATATATCTAAAAAAATTTTTTAACTGTCCACACCAAATTAATACCTCTAGTATTAACCTTCCCTCAGATGACATTTTTTAAAGCAGCTGACAATGCTTAAGTATTTGTCACCAGATACATCCCTTCCCAAAGTATATGAAGCAGAAAAAAAAATTGAATAAGACAACAAAATATACTTACATCTGGATATTCTTTTACAGGCACATAAAGTTTCTCTTGTAACTGAACAATAGGTCCCACAGCATCAGGCAATTCTGCACTCCTTTTCTCTGTACTGCCATTTAATGTGTCATTGTACATGTCTTTCCGTACTCTGCTAATTTCTGTTAAAAGTAAAAATTTTAAATGTGTTAGACAAAAAAATATTCTTGCTAGTCGAGGGGGGAAAATAAAACAGAAGGTAGGGGAGGGTTTCACTGATAAAGTGTTAAAACTCAAAGAGTAATGAATTATTAACCTATTCTACCATTCCCTGGATTAAGTCTATGTTTAACAGGACTATAGCCTTAATAATTTCTACCAAAAATCAAATTTATCTAAACCAAATAATATATTTTATTTTTAAGAGATTTATTTTTAATTTTAGAGAATGAGCGCACTGGGGGTTGGGGCTGGCAGAAGGAGAGAGAGTCCCAAGCAGCCTCCACCCTCAGGGTGGAGCCCAACTAGGAGGGGTTCAATCTCAAAACCCTGAGATCACAACCTGACCTGAAACCAAGGGTCAGACATTTAACTGACTGCACCACCCAGGTGCCCCTATATTTTATTTAAATTAACTAAAGAGCCCAAGCTCTTATCCTCTATTGTAATATACCTGTTATTTTGCTTATTTCTCCATGCTTGAATGAAGCCAGTCATTCCAAACAAGAACTTTAATCAAATAAGAATGCCTATTAGACAAAACTAATGACAAAGGCTCTTTTACACTTCAGAACTAATCCGTCTGAATGAGATTTTGAACTAGATTACTTCCTTAGCTATTTTAGGTATCTTTGGAATATCCAAACAGGTGCCTAATAGATAACAGAGATTTTAAGTTCAGCAGAAGTCTGAGTTTGATACACAAGTATGTTAGTCAAAGCTACAGGAAGAGAAAGGATGTCTTAGAGAGAAAAGAGAGAGAAAGGCAGACTGAATGAATCGTAGAAAAAGCAACATTTAAGGAATAAAGCAAAGAAGATCCAAACCACGAAGAAATGAAGGTGGAGAGCAGAAGTAGGAAGGAGAGGTGTCAAAGAAGCTGAAGAATGACAGAACGAAGAACAGGGTAATCAACGGGTCAAAAACCACAGAAGTATGGTAAAGTAAAGAGCAAAAGAGGGTACCTTGGATTTGACCACTAAGCCACTGGTGATCAGAGAAGTTTCAAGGAAAAGATGGTTTACAGAGATCAAACTACATCAGGTTAATGTATGAAATATAAGAAGAAAAGCAAGAATCTAAAGCCAATGACCTTTTAAAAAATTATTAGGACAATTCCCAGTTCTTATAGTTCTTATAAGAAAAAATATAAGAAATCTAATGAATCAAGACTTGCACAAATAAATCGATTATTTCAAGAATTCTTTATTAAGCTTCCACACTGTGTTAGAAGATAGTCCTCTGCCCATTAGAACATACTGTGTAATAAGGGTTGTCATTACTAAATTAGCTGGATGCCTCTTTATCTCTCTCTCCATGCTAGAGATTACCTTCTTGGGAAAGAGGCTTGTGTCCATTAGTATTTAAAAGTAAAATGTCTTTTATTTTTATAATGTATTCTGACTGCCTTCCAAACATGGAATTTCAATCTACTTCTATTATGGAACTTTGAAATATAAATGTACACTTTAATTTTCTTAACTAGTTACTTATATCACTTTGCTAAATAAAACCCAATACAACAGAAAGTCATGATCGAAGGTGTTCTTACCCAGTTAGATAGCCTTAATCAGTGAAAATACTGTATCACAATACATTTTCTGCTTCAATAAGGGCAATATTCATTTTATAACACATCTTATCTCTTAATTAACAATTTGCTTGTCAAAGCTTACCAAATGTGCACCTCTGAATAGCAAATGAAATTTTTTAAAAAATCAAAAGAAGGTCCCTTGGATTTACCTACATTATAAAGGTTAAGACTTCATTCCTTAAGTTCTTTTTAATACTACTTAGTTTCATAACAAAATCTTTCCTAAACATGTCCAGTATCAAAGTAGTGTTTATTTTATATTAACATGCAACAGCAATTCTCCAATCAAGTTTTGAACCACCAAATAATTTAAAAATAAATGTTTATATAATTACATAATTACAGTAAATAATTAACCAAAGGACATTAGGGAAATTTAATTAAAATTATGCGTATATCTTTTAGTCCAGGTCTCTATATAAAAGCACTTTTGATATTAATTTATTACATTTAAATTTCCTCTTCCGAAACTAAGTCTTGTTATGATGTTAGTAATGCCGACATAAAAATCCTGACAATAACAAAAAGGAAAACTATAGATAAAATTTGCTTATAAATATAGATGCAAACATACTATATAAACAGGCTCCACCAGCATTTTTCCAGGTAAACAATTTTATCAAACTTAGAAAAACCAAGAGACTTAGAAGAAAATTCAGAAGACTAAATTAAAAAATACATAAATACCACAATAATCCATGACCTTCACATATCCACTTAGATGATAAAATAGAAGATAATATTTACCATTTAAATGTCATTTCTATAAATATTTGTGTGATTCTCTTATTATTAACTGAAAGTTCTGAGATTCTGCTACCCACTATAGCTCCACCTCCTAGAACAGTACCTGCAACACAGTGGGCCCTCTGTTAATAATCGGTGCACTGGACAGATGGGAGGGTAAATGAGCTGGGTTCTAAGGCATTAACGTTGAATTAAGTCATGGTTTCAAGCTTTCCAAAAGTTAGTCTCATATGGGATATACATAAACTCTGAGAAAGAAACTGTGAAGCAAAGGTACAAACAATATAATTACAAATTCTAGTTTTCTTAAGATAAAAGGTCCTTCAACCATGTTTCTTTTAGTCTCAGATCACTCAATTTAATAATACAAATCATAAGCAACTCTGTACTGACAGGAATGAAAAGATAACCAAGTCCTAGTTCTCAAATATCTTACCATCTTATTCATCGTGGGGGGTCTAGCCAGCTGAGTACTACCTTTATCAACAGCACCTTTCTAAGCAGGAAATCACTAGGACTTCTTGCTATGTTATTCCCAATACTCAAGTCAAAACAAGTTCTGGGGAGCCTAGCGGGCTCAGCTGATGATAGAACGTGCAACTCTTGATCTCCAAGCCCCACAACAGGTATAAAGATTATCTAAAAAATAAATCTTAAAAAAAAAAAGTTACTGTTTGTGTGATTTTAGATCTCTTAAACTCTCTGCACCTTTACCTCGTATAATTAGAGGTTGCTTACTGAATGACTCAACTAAATCCATTGTTCTCCAACCTTAGTATGCAAGAACCCCATTTATTATTTTCTCCCCTAACCCCGTATTTTACAAAGTTTTGTCTGCAATGCTTGCAGTACGTAAGTCCTGGCAATCAAAGGTTTTTGTTAGTTATACCATCGAGTATATCTAACCACGGCCAAAATATTACAGAAACATGTCATGGGTATGGGTAGTGCTTTAGTTCCTTTGTAAGTGGTAGATTTATAAGTGTTCATTTATGAAACATGGAAGTGCTTCATAATTAATATATTTTATACTGCAGACCCTTGAATAACACAGTCTGTACTACACAGGTCCACTTATATCAAGATTTTTTTTTCAATACAGTACTGTCAACATATTTTCTCTTCCTTAAGATTTTCTTATTAATATTTTTTCTCCAGCTAACTTTTACTGTAAGAATACAGTATATAATATATATGGCATACAAAATATGAGTTAATCGACTGTTTATATTATTGGTAAGGCTTCTAGTCCACAGCAGACTATTAATAGTTAAGGTTTTGGGGAATTAAAAGTTATACATGGATTTCTGACCATGAGGGGAGTCAGTGCCCCAATGCCCTGTGTTGTTCAAGAGTCAATTGTATTAACTTTTGTTGTATTGAACACTGCATGATAATGCTCAAACATCTCATCTCCACAATACCCTCGTCAACCTACAACTGTGGCTCAGAGCACTGGAAGTTCAGAAGCATTTGTTTAATCACCTAGCATAAAAATTCCCACTACAATAATCCCAGAAATCCTCACTATCGGGACAACTTGTTTTAGACATCTCTGAAGTTATTAAAGTTTACAAATTTTACTGAATCAAAATCATTCCTAAAAATTCTCCCACTTCCCCCCATTCAACACTCCCAAGGTCATTAAACAGATCCAATGCCTTGTTCCTATGACAAAAATACTTAGAAGTTCTATATCTAATCTAAGTACCCTCTTCTCTGAGCTATATAATAATACGGTTTTATACCTTCTCACTCATTTAGACACACTCCCATTTATCTATGCCCTTTAAAATGGAAAATCCTTCCCTGACACACATCCTTCCCTGACAAATGAGAAGAATGCAGATAGGCTGCTTACATCCAATCACAAACACTCCAAGTCCACAGTGTGCTTAAGAACACCTTTCTTCCTTCGATGAACCTATCACATGACTCAAATGGTGGTGCTAAGCCAAGCTTTCACCATTCCATACTTCCACAACTGTTTGTTTAGACACCAAGTATTTTTTCCTGGTTGTTTTCTACTAGACAAATCCCTTCCGACTGTGAATCTTATCAGCTGACATCCTTTAGGGATGACTCTTCTGGCTCAAGGATCCAATGAACTGCACTTTCACAGTGCACACATTTCTGCAGCTTGCATACTGAAATACAGGCATTACCTTGTCAACAAACTGATGAAATCTCAAGCCACACTAGGACCCAAACCCCACTCTGGTTCTGCTAATTTAAACAGGAAATAGTTTGTTTTGGATTCCATGGGTTGCATCATCAACTTCAGAATACAAACCTTTCAGCTTTTGGGAGAATTCACCTTTCCAGCACTCAGGGTCCTCTAATTTTTCATGTTCTCTAAAACTGATATTTGATAATGACTTTTCCCCCCCCCATATTCCCATATCCTGAAAACTACTTTTGTTTAAGACTGAAAACTTGTTTCGGTCATACTACTTAGTGTCTCCTTACATTTCTCTGTTTAACAATCCTGATTTTTCCCTTATTTTTTTTTAAGATTTTATGTATTTATTTGACAGAGATCACAAGTAGGCAGAGAGGCAGGCAGAGAGAGAGGGCAAAGCAAGCTCCCCACTGAGCAGAGAGCCCCATGCGGCCCAATGG